ATCTATAATGAAGTAATTTCGTGCATGAACGCATTCTAGAAAACTACCCACCGATTCCCAGACTTCATGGATTAACAATGGACACATATGCTTGGCATAATCATCGAAACTGGTGAACAACTGAGGTAACATGGATAGCTTGGAGTCTTTCTCGATGATCGGAGGAACCATGTGGTAGTCTAAACAAAATCAATAACATGATTAATTCTGCAACTTTGTGTGAAAAAACTGCACGGACGAAGATGAAGCTGAAGGAACGGTATGCGCAACCACGAATGTCACGTTTGTACAACTTAGCAACATCACAAGTAAAATTCATTGAAACGAAGTACTTTTGTAATTAAATATAAACAAATTATTCGATAAACACTTACAGCTAAGAAAATAAATCATCACAGCAGTCTCTGACTGTTCTTAAACAATACAACGCAGGAACAGAATTATCGAGTCAAATCAGTGATTCTCCAGAGGAGAAACCACAGGAGAAGAAGTAGCGGTAGCCGAACTCTGGGTAACACAGAACAGTGGCCTGAAACCCCTTTCAGCTAGGATGAGGGGCAAACACACGTTCTGCCCTAGACTCCTTGCAAACCTAGAAAATAACCAAAACCATTTGCCAAAATCGAATGAAATGGTGCAGAAACGAAAATGATTCCCATTCCCTGGGCGCAGCTCGAGTCAGACTACGACATCGCGCGCCTAATGGAGGGCTGCAAACGCCCAAATGAGAGGCCTCGGCTGATAGGGGATGATGAGTTAAAAGAGGGATATGGAAGAATGTGTCGAAAAATTGTATCAGGCTAAGCAATTACGATTTCTTCAAAGCAGTGATTAGTAAAATAAATTTTTAAATAGTGCCCGTATTTCTCAGCTGTACAAAAAATACGTAGTATTTCATTTAATTCCTACAATAATGCATCATCCTGCCCTAAACTAGCGTTTCTTCCCTTCTATACTTATTACGTAATAACTGTTTGGTTGTTGTATGTATATATGCAAGTGACGAAAGGAGGTATCATTTTCCTGCACATCATTAATAAATACAGAATACTGTAACAGTACATCTGCAGCGCGTCTTCCAAAGAAAACCTTCAGGATATTTAAGCACAGGGAATAAATAACGAACATTTGAAACTTTGTACAATATTTTTCAAATTATAACGAAATTAATGAGTGCGAACAATCTCCAAACCTACGTTCATCGTTGTTTTGAAAATACTGCAATAAATATACATATCCTGCATTTAGTCTGGCGATGTTTTGATCAATCGATATCGAGAGTCATCAGGAACAAATATTTCATCACCTAACAAAATGTCTCTTACTGTGGTATCGCAAACAAAAACCAGCATATGGTTGATAGAGATACACATCAGAAAAATTTTTCGAAATCCTTCGAGTTCAATCCTCAACTCCTTTTCGTTTGTTGTTTTTTGAGCCATCGATGATTATCTTAAACCGTTTGCAAAAGAAGAATGTCTCTGGCTTGTGATATTGCTACATTCACTGCTTTTTAACACGAAAAGGCACATATTACTGCATAACAGAAGCAAATATTCTTCTCCGAAAGTAGATTTGCCTCTATCTTCTTCCTCAAAGTTGCATACTGGTTGCACGGTTAACGTCTACTCTGATTAGGTTTCCAAACGAGAAGTTCATGAGCTGAAGTAAAAAATTTTTGCTCAAGGAGTATGCCAAGCTGGACCAACCTCCTTTTCTTAATTCCACATCTACTGAGTCACTTGTGCCCAGATGAGAATATAGTCATTTCTTACGTAATCCTCTTATTTAACCTTCATTATACTTAAAAGTCAGTGCTCTTTTCCTGCTAATCAGTAATTTCAACGACCGT